CAGAGACACAGATGGACATGTTTTTTTGTTGTTTGTTGTTGTTGTTTGTCAAAAACGGCTTCAAACTTTTTCTTTAAATTTTGAGTAGAGATATTGCTAAATGTGCTCTATAAGATGACGTAAACGCCATATTGCTCTATCATTTTGTATAAAGTAAATAAATGTACTTTTTTTTACTTGTCTCTCAAGTCGTTAATAGTTATATTAGCGGAAATTTGTTAACATTATTGTATTTATATGAGCTTTAAATAATGTCATATAAAGTTTCTCGAAAACTAAACCGTTATCAGTGAAAACTAGCTCAAATTACCGTATTTTCATACAGAAACGCTCTAACGCTATTTTCTCAAAAACTACTCCAAATTTTTTCTTCAAACATTTATAACATAGTGAAAATTTTACTCTGTAATGTGATGTAAAGTTCTTTTTTTTAAATTACACAAATGTATATTTTTGATAGATTTCTTTTTGCCGTTCATATGCACATATTCAGCAATTTGTAAACACTCTTGTATTTGTGAGTTAAAGTACTTAAAATGACTTTAATTAAGGTTTTTCGAAAACTCAAAAGAGACAGGGAGTAACAGACAGAGGGACGGGGACAGAGAGACAATCAGCTGTTGTTTTTTTCGTTAAAAATTTGAATTTAAAAAAAAGTCATGTATTTTTGACGCTTCGTTTGTTTAAGAATTTTTTAAATGGTAGTTGAAGGGTGCATCGACAGCCAAGGTAATTGTTCCCGTAAGTGTAGTACATGATTTATTGCTGATTGTGGCTGTGATCTTCCCCCCACAAGATGGTGAGATCCGGTGTCGACCTATGCGGCGGCATGCGGGGGTTTCCCCAACCAGGTATCTCCCACCAACGGGGCACCATCCCATACGGGACCAGCTCCAAGCTCCAGACATAGTATGTTGTAGTGCGTGTTAGTGCAAGTGTGTGTAAGGGGTGAGAATATGACAAGGGAGAGGAAGGAAAGATCGCGTGTGGTTCATGACCCATTTGTTAGGGCACTGCTCCGACATTCGCCTCGTGTTGATAGGAACAACCACGGAAAACTACCGATCAGAGCAGCCGTCCGCTAGAATTCTCCAGACGGCTTAATTTGACCTCGGAATAGGTTTTCTTGAGCCGTCGCTTCACTATTTGCGAGAGGAGTGGAGAGTTTGGAGAGGAACGGTTATTTTGACAAAAGGAATCTTATCTTAAGTTTGCAGTTCGTTTTTCTATGCAAAATAGTTTCTATTACACTATAGTGAACATTTCTAGTTATCAGATTTTGTCTACAACGCTAGTTTTTATCATTTATTTATAATTCAACTAATGTTGGCAAAGGAATGGAGGTAGGCAGTGCCGGAGCTAGACAATTTTGGGCCAGGGGCAATACCAAAACGTACCCCCCCCCCATCTCCTAAACAATTAAAAATGTGAAAGTTGTATCAAGAAACTATACGAGTTATTTTATTTGAATTCGGGATATTCAGTCTTAAACTTGAATGAAAATACAAGACCAATGTGAAATTTTGCAGACATGTGTATTAAAATATCTTGGATATTAAAGAGAAGAAAATTTGAAGGCATAAAAAGCTTTCAATTACAGCATATTTTTGTAAAAGTTTCAGTATTAGCAATTTAAATATATTGTTCAATTTTTTTTGTAAATATTTGTAGTTTTTGCACAACTTTGAACAAAAAATATTTGGTTTTTGTTTTAATATAAACAGATTCTGTCAAAATGACTGCTTCAGTTTTTATCTTTACAATTTTTGTTTGAGCAGAACAAAGTTTGCTCAATAATATTGCATATTGAGTTTTTAATTAAAACATTTGGACATTTGAAAATGGCAAAAGTTATCATTTTTTTAAGTAATCCTACAACTTAAATATTGGAGCTAGAGATTTCTTCCAATATTATTAATGACTCTTTATAATTCTGACATTAAATATTTATTAGTGCAGATATAAATACTTGTTTATTTTTTAACATATTCATATAAAACAATTCAGAATCTTATGTGGTCTCATCTGTATGTATAAGAAATTTACACCAATTATGCATAAATTATGAACTTTCTTATTGATTTGGTTTTGTGTGGTGTGCTTTCGTTTGATTTTGTCAAGTAATCACTGAAGTATTACAATATTAAGATAATATGAGAAATTACTACTAACATTTAAAATGCTAATGTTAACACAATGGTAATGCTAACACAAAAATGCTAATGTTAGTAGGATTTAATAAATAAATAAATACTACTAACATTAGCATTTTTGCTCTTGTACCACCACTACTAGTTTAATTGCTTGTAATTACAGTTAATTTTATTTTGTAGCCCTGAACATGTAATAATCGTTGGTTAAGTGTTTATCGTCATTGGAGTTGAAAATTATTGTAAATTTCCTGCTCTGATGTTCGCTGCACAATTAAAAAGTATCTTAATAAGTTAATGAGCTAAAATATACCCAGACAACATTAATCTCTTTATTAAGAAGCAATAAAGCTTTCAATCTGAGACATGTTCTCAAAATTTACATTTTCTCTTTTTTCTCAAACTAACAATCAAGAATTTGCCCTATGTATTACTTTTAAAAAAGTACACTAAAATAATTACATTATTTAATCATTATTATTATTTTCTTTTCTTTTTTTTTATTTTATTTTTTTTTTTATTTCGAATTTCTTTTTAATAGTGTACCTTGGCAGACTGTCTTCAGAGGAAAAATTCTGTGAAGGATATTTATTTTCAAAACAATAGCTTTTTACATGAAATCATTTGGCACAAGTTCTCACTTCAACCAACTACATATTTATTTTATCACATTCTATCACATCTTGTGAAAAAAAACCTTTAAGTTTTTTTGTATTTTTTATTATAAAATAAAAGTATTTTTAATATTTTTGTAAAATATTTTTATAATATTCATAATTTTTATGACCTATTGTTGAAAATCAACAAATATAAAATGGAAGAGACTTTAAAATAACAAACCTCGAAATGTTTCTGAAACAAGAATCCACATTTTAGGCTTGCAGTTCTCTAAGGACTCCAAAATCTCTTGAACAATAACCATCTAAATGTTATTGAATATTCAACAATCTTCCATTAAAAACCCATTCTGTTTCCCCTACTGAATAAAATAATAATACTATAAAAAAAATTAAAAAAAAACAACACACTTTGAACATTGTGAATCCTAAATGGACATCATTGTGTGTGTTGCAGCAACTTCTCTGTCAGGGAAACTTTAGTAAAATTAAAAAGTGATCTGAAGCATTGTATTAGATCTTTGAATCTGAATGGCATTTGTCTTTAATATTAAACAACACCCCTTAACAACTTCTAATGAGTATTTTAATAATTACATTTCCCTTTTGCTGTGCTATTGAAGTTACATGATTTTGTCAAAGTACATAGTTTGTAAAATAGTATTTGTTCATTCACAGAAGAATTATACAATTCAAAAACCTAACAATACTCTGTTCAAAACACCATTTCAATACTAATGTTCTTACCTATGATGCAGAGGTTATTAATTACCATATATTTAAATAATAACTTAAATAACTTAATAAGACAGTAATCAAAATCAAAGAACAAAAATCATGGAAGAACAATGTGGATTTCGCAAGGGAAGAAGTACAATAGATGCAATATTCATACTCCAACAATTATAGAACACTCACACCATTACTCTTTAACATTTACTTCAATCGCATGACAAAAAGAAATGGAAACAGAAAACTCAAGCAGGAATAAAGATAACAAATAACCAGAAATTAATGACAAGATTATTCACAGATGTCAAAGTTATTATAACAGACTCAGAAGACACACCACAGAAAGCAGCCTTCGAGTGAAGCAAAGAATATCAAATGAAAATATCCAGCCAGAAAACTAAAACACTAGTGTTCTGTGGCAAATAACATCTTAGAATCAAAATAATAATAGAAAATTCAGTAAATGAAGAAGTTAGCACTTTTAAATATTTTGGAAATTCAATTTGATTGATCCAGAAGGATTTAGAACAGAAAATGCAAAAATATAATAGAAACAATGGACAAAGAGACAACTAGAGACATTTAGGACATGTGAGAAAAGAAACAATCATGAGAATCCATAATTTTACATAATAACCAATGCTAGAGTATGGTTCAGAAATGTAGATAATGGGCATAAAGGAAACCAGATGCATAGAAGTAGCTCAGATGAAGTTTCTAAGGGCGGTGGTAGGAGTAACATTAAAGGACAAAATTTGAAATGTAACAACTAGGAAAGAAATAAAAACAGGAAACTTAGCAGAAGAAATATAAAAGGTTATCCAAAGGGGAATGTAAGAATAATCCTTAATGATTAAGGGATGACCACACTGAATGTGTAGCCACGGATGACATTAAATCTTATATACTGGGAATGCAAGTGAATCACTTTTCGATGTAGATACAACAAGAAATGGCACAATAAGAACACTTAACCACATAAGTAATACTGCTTTACAAGCCACCAACACAGGAGCACTGTCCTAAACGAGATGTTAATGAATAATAAGATAAATCCTGAGAAGTAATTGTAATATCTGTGTGTGTCCGTCCAGTAGTCACTCTGTCACTTTTTTGGATTCTTTTAGAACATCACGTTTTTAATTATCTATCATTATTATTGATTAATAAATGTATTAGTATTTTATAAAACAAAAAAATGTAGCAGGAGTAAAATACAAGACCAAGGAATAATAGGAAACGTAATTCATGGGAAGAAACTACTACAAAGACCACTACTAGCACACCGTTTGGGGCAAGGGAGATGTGTCCCAGTCTACTGGAAGAGAAGTGTTCAATTTTTTCTTTCTTTTTTTCCAAATATAATTAATCAAACTCAAATTAATAAATATAAAAATACTCTTAAAATGTTTAAAGTATCAGGGACAACACACTCGGCTAATTATTATGTTACACAAATGAATGTAAGAGAAATTGGGAAATAAAAACGACAATTAAAGATTACATTGTTATATTTCAATATTTACACTTTTATCTTTTTCTCAAGACATAATCTCACATTAAATCAATTACTTTGAAACATACAAAATCTGGTTTGAAGAACTTATCTGAATACGCTTTAACTAAATTTCTCAAATACACATATTTTCAGATAATTATGAAATAAAATGAATGAAACATGGGCACAGCTCTGTTTCCAAAATTGAAATACAAATTGCAACAGTAATATTACATGGACAATTACATAAACAAAAAGAAAACATATTTGTCCAATATCTTCTGAATATAATAAAATATATAACATATGCTTTATTGAAGATTTAAATCTTAAATACTATATAATATTCACATTTAATAAACATTTTGTACAGTAAATGCAATGCACAAAATGTACACTAATTGCTAATTGAACTAAAACAAATTGGAAGTCATCGAAACCAACTTCTGAGATAAATTCACAAGACAAATTCATATCATTGAAATGAACATTTGATTTGTTAAAAATTATCACCATTATAAATCAGTCGCAGTTAATTAAATACAATAGAAAACATCCTGATTACCAGTAGTTAAGTAACAAATATTTCCTATAATAAAGCACAAAATGAAAACAACTTATTTTTAAGAAACATGGCAGAGCTTTCGGAAGCTCTTATATGATGATCAAGTTATTCTTTATACACAGCATCAATGTTAACAAATAAAATACTTCCAACGTTCTCCCTCAATGAGCAAAGAAAATTAATCTCATTTATTTTAAAATAATAAAACAAATTTGAGAATTTTTTTTTAATATCAGAAAACATGTCATTGAATTAGTGACATTAACCTATTGACATTTTATAAAGAATTTATGGCAGTGTCTTGAACCAATTTTCTGATGTGCCTCTAATATTATCATTGCACTACTCACATTACTCACATCAAACTTTGAAAATATACTTATATTACACTTATTCAATATTTATGAACTATCGACAAGTGTCAATACTGTATATTGCATTCTTATTTATTCAAAATAGGATTATTAATTAATATAATTCATTTATGGAATTATCTAGGAGGAAGATTTGTTGAAATAATGAAATCAAAATGCTATCGAATTAGATGAAAACAAGTAGTTGACCTTATAGCAGTTTATGTGCCAAATAAGGTTTCTACATTATTCATCCATTTTTTTCTTCTTTTTTACAATTCTCATGTACAAAAATATAATTAACATACTGGAAATGAAATGACTAACTCCTTTGGAATGTATGCATGTATGTGTGTATGCATGTATGTCAGCATGCATGAAAACATATACTTTTACGAGTGTGTTTCTGAACATACATAAATGCATACATGGTTTAACGTATAAATGCATAAATCCAAGTATATGCATGTAGATGAGTATTTTCTTTTTTTTCATTTTAATGCCAGAAACTTTGAGCCTATTCAAGTACAATTTAATGAGTCATGAGTAATTAAAATTTCTTGGTTATTACAGTTTCACTTTCAAGTATGTTCATGTAGGCTATACAATATTATATCAGGTAGCAAAACTACAAAGTAGAATTTAAAAAGATTTGCATGCTATATTACATGAAGGATTTATAGAGAGGTCAACCATGCTCCACAATCTCTGTATATTGCATAAATTACATTTTATATGCGACATTGAATGACATAATGTGTTTATTGTCTCCAACAATACCAATAATGTATGTAGTATGGTTAGGACTTAATCTGGGGAAACATTGGAAGTCATAGTACAAGTCTGTATAAGAAAGTGTTGAACAATCTTACTGCTAACCTAATAGTAGTTGCTTTTCTTAGATGTACAAGTATGTTATTTGCTGGCTATTTTGAACATACATTTGTTATGTATATGCTGATCAATAGTATTTAGTTCTTGTAATCACTAAAGAAGTTGTGAAACTTCAATTTTCAACTCTCAAATGGATTCAAATTCTAATTAACACGTGTAGAATTCAATTACATGTACTTTGGCCCAATACATTAACAATACATCTTCACATTACCTTTCAATGAATACCGTGAAATAGGATGGAAAAAGCACAAGCCATGGCAATAGAAGGGAAATTAATGATTGTTGATTTTCCTTATACGTATTTTAGAAGTCAAGCCAATCCTACACTTGTTAGTGTCTCATTTTCAAACAAAATAACATAAGAAATAAGGGGGAGAGAGAAGGGAGAGAACAGTTGGGAAAATGGAGGATAAATGTTTAAAAAAATTATACAAATTAAATATTTAATTGAAAAGAAAGATGATAAGTTGTCTCGACTGTCCACATTATGTGAATCATTGCAATGCACTCACAATACATTTCTAATGATAGTAAACATTTCTAATGATAGTGTTTGTGCATCTACAAAAATACTACATTGTTCTCTCATGGTGTGATTGTCTTGTAATTTCTAAAGTTATAAATTTGCCAATTAGGTTTTTTAATTATTAGGAATGCTTTCCTACACATAATTGTAAATATTATTTCTAATGCAAGGAAATAGGTGAATTCCACATTTTCACAGCTACAAATTTAAGATACAGTTTCTTTATTTCAAGTACAGTTGTTTGAATAAGCAAGTTTATTATGTAAATATTTTGCAAATTGATTGTTTTTGTCAATTTTTTAAAAAATTTTATAATAAATCACATTGTAAAGACAATGTAATTCATTTACATAAATAAAGAATTGTGAAAAAAGAAAAAAAACAAACATTTATAGCACAGTGAGTTTATCAGAGAAATGGGAAAGGAATTATTCCTCTTTTGAGCAAAATGAATGCACCATGTTTTCATTACTGGTTGAAGAAAACCAGAATTCATAATTTGTTTCTATTATATCCATCTATGAGAATTAAACAAGATGCTTTAAACTGCAGGCATTAGCATATAAGAGGACAGTAAGACAGATTACATGTAAAACAAGACAAAATGCATTGTAATTTCAATGTTATACAAATGAGCAGACAGAGATGGAGTGTATATATTTTGGTAACAATGTAATCACACTTTCTCTCAGAGAACTCACAAATACATGGGAGGAAATTCACAAAGATTTTACACCTGACTTCCATAAAAAAATAAGAATACATTGCACATAGAACAAATAATAAAAAGTGAGGCACATAATAGTCCAGGAGAGAGGAATTGCAACATGATTCACAGTAGGTACGAAATCCATATCACTATTTCCTCAAGATTCCTGGTGTACATTCCAAAGAAAAGAAAAGAACAGTGATAGTAAGAATGGAATTATTTTAGTATAAAATCAAATGCCTCAGATGAACAGTAGTACCAAATGCAGGTAGCATGTAGCAATTGATTCCTAAAGAGTTCCTTTGGTCCTGCAAATCATCCAGTTGCAGGAAATCATACCGCAAAAACAGCTTCAAGCACCCAGCAATTCCTCGATCATTTGTTAATGTTTATGTATAATCAGCATAAAAAATACTTGAACAGTATACTTCATATAATGGCCTTCAGATCATTTACAGAGAAAATTTTATAATTTTGGAAGAGCTGAATACAAAATTAATAATTTATGAGTAAGAATTTTTCTCTCTGGTCTAGATAGTATCAAATGTAAGAGAGCTTTCCCAACAATTTGCCAAAACCACAACACAAACATTAGCATTCATAACCACTTATTCATGATAGAATGCCAACATTTGCAATAACACATAATCCTATGACAACCCTCATGTCTCCTCACAGCCAATTGGCCCAAGCCTTCCCAGGGCAAAACACTCTCCTATGTCTTGAAGCAAAACTGTTCTTATTATCACAGATGCTAACATTTCTTTGTATTCTGGTTATGTCAACAAACAAGCACACATAAATGCATACACACACTTGCTCACAGACAGGTCAATTTTAGCACCGCTCTAAAGCAAGCATAGAGAACTTCATATGAGCACTTCAGAGAACCCAGCGCCTCAAAAGGGCAACAAGCAGGCATCATGAAGCTGATTAGACACTTATAGTCATTTCACCACACTCCAAATTTCACTTATTTACATTTTATACTATGAAAATGAACTCCAACCACTCAATTGATGGCTTACTGAATGAATGTGTACAACAAGGCTCGATAAAACAAGTCGTCATTGCTAGGCACCATAAGTTCAAGTGGAAGACAGTTTTCCCGATGGAGTTCGACTTGGTGCTGTATTATCCACATCACGACTTTCAAAAAAAGCAGCCATATCTTTAATATTAAAAGAGGGTGAGTCAGAGGCTGCTCGTCTTCGCGGACTATCCCTCCGATCAGAAACAGGAGAACGTCCAAGTATGTCACCTTTGGGAGACAATCGCAACTCCACAGATCGCCCCTCAGGGTTGCTACGACGTTTCTCTGGGCCTCCAAATCCTTTTCCTGACACTCTGATCTCTGGGAGTTCTACTTCTAGCCTTGAATTCAGCCGTTCACTACCTGAATCACTTGTTGGATTTGCAGTTGCAGTCCCAGAGACATTATGGCGTGGTGACTTTGAAGAGCCTAAAACCCTCTTTTCCAATTCAGCTTGTAATGCAACAGGATCTGCATCTGAAGTTTTCCGAGGAGAGAGCCTCCTTTCAATAGAGTGTGTAGGAGAAACACTCTTCCCACCAGTACTTCGCTTGTTGTTGGAACTCAGCCCCCATCCTTCTCTTGGAGCATTTGACTTATGGCCAGACTTTGTTGTGTTGCTTTCATCACCCACTTGACTTAGACTGAAAAACCTTGATCTCCGCGAACCTTCATCACTGCCTAATAGTTCATGAGGAATGTTCTTGGACCCTTTTGCTTTCAGTTCTCGATCTCTATCACTCAATAAGTCATCACTCAGTGACACATCACTTTCACTCGCAGTGTCAGCATGGTCACTCTTGTACGAGCGTACGCTGCTACTTCGTGTTGATTCTAATGATTGAGGTTCTCGCTCATCACTAGGGCTTGACAAACTTTTACTTGTCTTCTGTTTCAACCTCTGAAATATCTCTTCACGCTCTCTTTCCCTTTCTCGGAAGCTCTCTGAACGATACTTTTCTCTAAGGAACATGCGACGTTCTTCTTTGTACTTTTCTATTCGTTGACGGCGTTCTGGATCATCAAAGTCAACAGTATTCTGTACATTTTTTAGTATTGTTGTATCTCGCTGGCCTGATATTTTAGAAGGTTCATGTTGACTAGGCCCAGTTTGTTCTGAATGTCCACGGAGGTTAATGTCAGGAGACGTTTGTACACGAACTAAAGGTTTGTCACCACTAGACTCCAGAAAGCGGTCTCCATCTAACGAGACACTAAGTGAAGTGAGAGTGGATAAACGGCCACGAGCAGCCTTTGCTGCACGTGCACGCACGCATGGTGGGAGAGATGCAGTATGTGCTGGCCGTGGCGTTGGGTCAGATCGGCGAGTAGGTTGTGGGGTAAGAGTTCCTAGAGAAAGATTTCTTAATGCAGATGATGCTGGGCCAAGTTCCTCAGTAGGAGAAGACTCAAATTTGGATAATAGCTCTTTCACATTACACTTTCCACTCTTCTTTGGAGGCTGCCTATTTGGTACAGGAGACACTGCACTTAGTCCTGCAAAAAGGATATAAATGATTAACATCATTCTGTCTTTCAAATATCATCTTCAATTTTTTTCTTTAAGTAAACCAACACATACAATAAATAATAAACCTTTGTTGAACTTCCAGATTTATAACTTTCAGTCATAATATGCGGAAAACATGAAAAATTAAGAAAACTATGCCAAGGAGAATTTTCATGTAAATTATTTGGAATTTTAGAGAATTTGTTTGTAATGTGATTTCAGAAAGTACTGCATTTGTTCAATTTTGTCTTAATTCACATGGATAATTCTACAAAATGTAGCAGTAAATCTGATACATAAATTCATGTTATTGATTTTTCTATAAAAAGCATGAAGAAATATGAAAATTCAAACTGTAAGTGAAACAGAATGCTCAATAGAAAAATTTAAGTAAAATGGCAAAAAGTGCATAAAATTACAAAAGTACAGTGGCCAAAAACAACTAGTATCCTTTACAGGTCAATAGACTGTGATAAGAGAAAATTCAATTTCACAATTTTAAGATTAAAGCATTTTCTATAGTTTCAAAATAAAAAAGTAAATCAGTTTTTAAGCACATTGATAAGTGAATGAAAAAACAAATTCAAAAAGAACAATTTTAAATTAATTTTAATAAGAAAATAATATTTTTAAGAGTCAAACAGTTTGAAGATATGTTTTGTAGGAAATGAAGAACATTTACAATGAGCTCTTAATATTTTGGTTTCTACTAGTCTCTGTTTTATTTTATTTCTTTTTTTTTCTTTTTTCTTTATTCTTGTTACACCTCAATAATTTAAACAGTCATTAAATTATTATATTACCATGTTAACAATTGCATTTATTCATTTACAATGTTTCCTTTCAAGTTTCAGGGCCAATTGTGGCTCCATCATCAGGTATTAACTGCAATAAGTTTCAAGTTTCAAAATGTAATGCAATAAAATCTGTCTAAGCTGGAATCAATAGGGACAACAAAATATTCCAGGAAGTTCCAAATATTTAAGGAGGTTTCCGTTTTATACAGGGTTGTTTATTTTATGACATGACTTTATTGTAATTATAAAAATATATTAACATACAAAGTATTTATAGAAGAAATCACCAATAAATGAATATTAAACATATTTTTGGCACTTGAAAGGAAAACCTTCATAACTTTTGCACTAAAATAATATTATTTAATCCAACATTCATCTGGAGAGTTTTTGGTATCCCCTCTACTAATACCTTTATGTATTACCTGTATTATGTTTCCTGAAGTTGAAAAATTGTAATATTTACAGTTTTATCTTTTTTCTAACCATTGTCAAACCAGTTGTGAGATTCATAAAAATACACCACTCGCTCTCTAGAGGCTGCAGCCAGACTGCTCGACTTCAATCCACAATGCATCACAGCCCAGAGTTTCTAAGTCTTTCTGATACCCTCATATGTCCTTGACCAAAGCAGAACTGGCCGAGGGGTTATGATTCTCACAACAGGGCCAAGAGATGTGTGAACAGAAGTCCTGCCTGTACAAATTCCCATGCTCTCAGGCGACCCGAAGGCTGAATTCTACACTGATGTCTGAAGCCCCTCCCTTTTACTGTCCAGCTGCCGCAACTGAAACTCGTATCACAGGGGCACAGAAATTAAAACAGACTTGGAGATGCATTTATTCCATAAGATATTCTCGCATCTCTCTGCCAATTGCATTTAATTCACAGAAATTCTGTTTTATAAGATTTTCCAGGCAGACATTAAAAACCCTCCAATTTCCGCAATGGACAGGTTCTGTTTTATGCTGGCTAAAATGCCATTTAACTTCACGGGCCAGAGACATTTTCTGGTTAAGTAAGTTTCTGGCTTGTACAGTTTTCAGTTTAGACAGATTTTACTGTACATAAAAATTACACTTAAAATAACTAAAAGATAGATAGTAAATATTATATTTTTAAATTTACTATAATTATAACAAATTATAAATAGTTATGGCAACACAAGGCAAGGAACAAAGGAGAGCTAAAAGAGTAATAAATGGAAAATTAGTAGAACAAGTAAATAAATTTTCATACCTTGTAAATATCATAAGTGTGTACAACCAAACTCAGGAAGGCATAGAATGCAAACTTAACAACTATAATAGAATAGGTGGAACTATTAAGAGACATTTAGGCAGAGACATGGACCCGGAAACAAAACTGAAACCCCACAATATAGCTGCTAAATGTAGAATCATGTATGGCTCTGAAATATGGGTAATGAAAGAGACAGACAAGCAAAAACTACATATATGGTGGCACATATGAGATTTCTAAGACACCTCATGGGGATCACAAGAAGAGACAGACTGAGAAATAAAAAAATCAGCAAGAAATTGAAAACCAAAGGCTTAGTTGAAGAGATAGAACAGTCTCAAAGGAGATGGACAGATAATTTACAATGAATAAGCAACAGATTGCCAGAATTAATCTGGAAGTACAAAACAAGAGGGATCAAAGGTAGAGGAATTTTTGACAAAGCAGTGTATCTCTGAACCTTCATTAGGCATTGAGTGTGTGACATAGAGTAGTCCTCATTTATAATTTTTGTCAAGTACTGTCACAGTCAGTCAGTGCCTTTTATGGCTTAGTCAGGGGCTTGGTGCCGTTAGATCCCAGGGTTCCTAGATGGTCACCTAACCAGGAGCCTGCAATGTCTCGAAGTTGCTTAATCTCTGTGCCTTTAGAAAGAGTAGTTAAGGAATTCAGCTAGTGACACTAACAATTTGTGGTCAGTTCATGACAGGAATAATAAAAACATTTTGTGATAACATAAGTTAAATTGAATGACAACTTATAATTTGTGTTCTCCATTATTAGTTGTCATTCAACTTCACTTATTTTAGCATAAAATTTGTTTATTATTATTGTAAATTTAAAAATCTAATATGTTTTGTGTGTGTTTTTGTTATTTTCAGTGTAATTTTTATGTATTACAGTTTATACCGATGATATGGCCACACTGCACCCCGAAATGTTGTAATTCAATATACGTGATTGTTAACCTGGTAACTTAATAATTTGAATATCTGTCTAAAATATTGAGGTGTAACAAAAGCTCTTATTATTTCTATTAGGGAATGCAAATTACAAGTGCTTATATTGCTTGACTAAATCAAAAAAATTAACAATTGCTCACCAACTGAAGATGATCGCAGTTCCTGAAGTTCCTGCTTCATTTTTCTTTCATGGAGTATATCTCGACCAATTTCAGATTCAAATTTCCTCCTATTTGAGTCTAGAAGTGAGCTGGTACTTGATCCCAAACTACTACGATGCTCAGGAGAACTCACTGGAGATTCACTGACAGTAACAGACCTCCGAGAGAAGGAGTAATCGTTTACAAACTCTGGACTAGATCCCATCATTAACTTAGGAGTCATACAGTCTTGGATGCATTGCTTTGGCATTTCAGTAGATTGATGTTCAGTAATTAACTCCTTCGTGATCAATGGTGAAGAAGATGAACATGTAGAAGGGATGGGGGCTGAAGGCTTTGGAGATATAGATGCAGGGGATGGAGGTGAGGGTGAAGTTGGCAATGGTGATGATGATAATGTTAATGACAGCAATTCTGGGGTAGGCTGAGATGCATCCTCATTTTTATTCTCTCTATCCTCTTCTTTTGGAGGGGGTTCTCCAACAGAAGGCTCTCCAACAGCTTGAATTTCCATATCCATCCCTGAATAGGATTCTTCCTCTGTCCTGGCTTGCTCTTCAGTTAATATTTCTTCTGTTTGCTGCATCTTCAAGTTATCAACATCTCCAACATCCCCAGAAGTGCACACTGCTGAAATGTCAGCATTGAAATGCTCGGTGACCTCTTGATTTGAGGTCTCTGGTTGGGAGAGGTCTTGAATGCTGTTTCCATCTGCACTACCTGTCTCTCCATCCTCTGGGGAAGAATCTAACAACTGATTGACTTCATGTACTGATTGGCGAAAGTTTTTGACTTGCTGATAGACTTGACGATCAGGATCCAGATCTTCCATGTTGACTGATTCAGATTCTGTCGGAACTGGTGCACTAACAGGATCCTCACTTGTTGCTCTAGCCACCTACAAATAAAGAATGTAAATATAATTCACTACAATACAAATACAATTAAATGCTAACTGTAGACGTGTTAAATTACACTTCACTAGTATAAAAGTAGTTTTCAAGTAGAAAGTCTAAAAAATTAAGTTTCTTTTGAAACTTCAATTACATAAAGAGCTTCAAAGGTTTATTCACAATTGCTTGGGATTTTTTCAAACATGTTTATGTAATATATTCACAACAAAGGATTATTGAAATTGAAAGAGAGAGTCTTTGAAAACCAACCTGGATGTCTTCATACAAGTGTTCTTCTTCTTGCTGCAAGTCCAAAGCCTGGGGCACATTCTGATAAACATTGCCACTTTTCTCAGAAGAATAGTTTGAAGGCTGCTCGCTCTGAGCATCTACTGGTTCATAATCTCCTCTGTCTCCACTTACTTTGCCTTCAGTACTTTCATGGACCATATTTTCATATGCGGTAGGGGAAGCAGACTTTTTGGGAGAAAGAACATTTTCATACACTATAGTTATGTGACACTCCACAGGACTTCGTGTAGGGGAATTAAGGAGTTCAGTACTTGAAGGTGTAGCAGCCATATTGACATAAGAGGCCTCTGCTGATGGTAAATCTCCACTCGCTGCAGGACTCGCCAAAGGAATGTTCTCATACTGGGCAGTAATAGCAGCTGCACAGTCATTTCCCACAGAACTTGATTCTGTAACACACTCCAATCGTGGTGGTACCCCTGTAGGGGATGGAGAAGGAGTCGTTAGCCGTTCATACGGTCCACCAGGTACAGCATCTGAGCGAGGGTTGGGGCTAGGAGGCATTTTATTAATATGCAAATTCTCATAATCTGGAGTTGTTGTGCTGCTGTTTGTATCATCTCGCAATGGAGTATACACCAGTAATGGAGTGTCTGGTGTTGTCAAACCAGAACTGAGGACAGTGAAGCTTTCGTTATCTGACACAGTAGCTTCTGCTAGAGATGGACTTGTTTTGTGAGTGCAGCCAATACTGGTTGGAGTAGATGCTGAAAATTTACGTTCTGGAGCAAATTGCTCATGTACATCTGCTTGAACCAACATCTGAAAATATTAAATTAACAATCATAACATTAAAGGAAAAAAATATGATATTGCAATGAAGTAACTGATCACAAATGAAACAACAACAACAATAATAATTCACAACTAGGAAATTAAAACTGTCAGGATTCAATACCTGCTGATTTTCTGGCGACTGGCTGTCGATGTAACGAAACTCTGCCGCAGGACCTAACTGTTCCTCCAAGCGAGAACGCTTGGAACGACTTGAACCAGGAGAGCCACATGTTTTCTGCTTTTTAGGAGATGGATCAGTACTGATACAACCACTAAAGGAGTCTTCCGGTCGAGCCCTAGGTGGAGGAAGTTCTCGCATTGGCAGCCGTTTAGCTGCAGTCTATAAAAGATGCAATTCATTTATTTTATATTGCATTTCAACCCTGAAAGACAAATCTTAAAACAAATCATTAAGAAAATTATTTGTGATAATAAAAGGATGTGTTAGGTATTTCAGAATATGTAAAGTACTTTATAGCTCGTTTTGCCATACATTAGACAAAGGAGTAGGAAGTACACTCCATGGAAAACTAAGATGTAAGTCAATAATAGCGTTTTTAACTAGCATTTTGGGTGTCATCAGATTTCAGACACTTATTTATGAAATTGTTATGAAAGAGGAATCAAGGGTGATTGGAAAAGTCATCAAAAGTGCTCAAGAAAATGTGCAGATTAAACTTTTCCCCCGCATGTCACATTCAGTTTTTATTGTGGGTTTTTTACATTATAAATAAGTAAGTAAATAAAGAAATAAACAAGCAAATAAATAAAATGAGTAAATGCACCCTTTAAAGTACAATTACAATATACAAAAGAACGAAAATTTCCATAAGCGAGCTACATTTTTTTAAACTAAATTTAAACCGACTTATATTGTGCATTTTGAACTGCCTCTAAAACACATATATTCCTCCAGATGCAGAATATTCAACTGGAGTTTTCTTATTGCTTTTACACATAAAGGCATCATTTTATACAGAGCCACATGCCTAATGTTTGGTTCTGATTGGAAAGGCTCTAAACCACCTGAAGGGGTGGATGAGGGCTCTTCTGAAACCATAGGAACTATGTCAATCTTTGAATTGGGTCACCACCCCTAACAGTCTGGTAGAGGACAGAAGGGAGCCCTCCCCTAATTTATGGTACTGATTGTGCAACCCTCAGACTATAATGTAAACTAAGAAAGAGCATAATCCATGTAGCTATATGAATGATAAAATTTAGCAATAAAAAATATACAATCAGAATTATTATTTACTAGGCTGTCCGGGCATTACGACCTGAGGAAGGTCGCAGAAAGGAGACCGAAACATCGGCACCTTCGCCATGGACGCGGCGTCACCCTGACAGCCTAGTAAATACTGACTCCGGCCGCAGAAGCCTACGCTCTCAATCAGAATTATACTCTTTTAAGATAGTTCCTTCAGTATTGTGTTCAATATATTTTTAAATCCCATAAACAAAATGCAACATAAAATGAGAAAGATAAAATGATTATTCCTGGAAGCCATTGTAACAAATTTTAATTTTCAATTGTTATTGATCAATACCAACAAACAGTGACACTGCACTCACATTTTGTTGAGCTCTTCTGAAAGCACCTACACGGGGAGAACCTTGACTCACAAAACTCCCACTCCCAGCAGAAGTTGATACCAGAGTTTCATCCTCGGAGAATATGCGCATTTCCGACTCTTCTAAATCAAAATTCAAGTGAATTTCACTTAAATCCAATGAAGAAGAGAAATTTTCTTCGTTTTCTTCTTCAGGTAACTGTGATGGTCTGTGAACCACGAATGATCAGTGATCAGTGACAGTTCAGAAGTTTATCATCAAAGCAAAGAAAATTAAAACTTTAATCCTAACCTACTCCAACCAGTTATAAATATGATTATAAATTGAAGCACTTCACCCACATATAAAATTTCTGACTGAAGTTCTATTTCTTTCTGGTTTCTATTAAATAACATATGTATTTATGTGAAAATAATATATTCAGAAACAATTGAGAATTCTTTAAGTACATGTTTACAAATTACTTAATTTTCACTAATACAACAAAAACAAGCTTGTCAGTAATCTGACCAAGCCAGTAGGTAATTGATATTAACATGGATTCTATGCCATAATAAAATAAACAATACAATGATTGGGATGCATTTATGTCAGGATCAAAACACATTTCAGGATTGCAAATTAGGTAATCTATTTTCATGTAGAATACAGAAAGGAGGTTTCAGAAAATATTTTTCTGGGTAACTTATTTCCAACAATTTAATAATCAACGTAATGACTTTTCTCATTATGAATCATGGACTTTCTTACATAATTAGGACTCCACAGGTACAAAACATCAAAATTTTAAATGGCTGGATTCAATCGAACAATTGTAATTAAAAATAAAGTGCATTCTGCCAATTGATATTTTTATACATGTGTTGGTCATTATTACCTGGAAGTAGGGCCCGTGCGCATTGGTGTTTCAGCTAGACTATCAAAGTACGAATCATGGGATACTGAGCGATTGTGACCACTAGCCTTCCCATTACCCCCGTGGGTAGGTGAGGTCACGTCATCAGGGGTTGTCAACTCTGCTTGCTCTAGTGCAGCTGAATTTCGACTTGAATTTGCTCCAGATGCCAAAGATTCTGCACTTTTCACAGGACGCAGCCTCCGCCGACCCTGCGCCAGGTCCATTTCTGTTACTGCTTTTTCCTAAGGCAAAGACACCAAAATCAGTGAAAGACACATATTAAATGATAATTTCATATATTTATTTTCTTAGCAAGTATTAAAGGTTTCGAACATTAAGCATTTACTAACTACTACTATGTAGATATGACATAAAGACCCAACGCAAACTTAAAATTTTCTACAAGATGCGACTTTTTGATCAGCAAACTAGTACATACAGAAACAATTCATTACTTATCACTATCAATCAAATATTTAATTTATGGAATTACCAAAATAAAGATCAGTAGTTAATCCCACAAGCAGACCCATCACTGGAAAAAAAACACCCAATCTGAAGAGAATAAAATTCTATCGTGTTTCAAATGAATCACCCAAAAAATAGAAAGGAATTGAGATATATTATTTATTTAAAAACTGACAAAACATTTTTAAAAAGAAAAGCACTAAGCAGAAACTACTGAAATACACTACTACTAAAAGAATTATTGAAAAAGACTGAAATAACCTGATTCAATCCTAGTTCCGAAGGAGTTGATGCTTTACGTTGTGGTGCTGATGAGTTGTTTTTTCGTCCTGATTTGCTGAAGAAAGATTTCCAACCCAAAGGGGAACGTTTGGATCCTGAGCGCTTCCTGCCAGATCCTGGTAGTTCTATCACAGTGTGATATTTAGCTGGAAGATTTGAAGGACCACCACCTGAAAAAAATTACATTCTTAATCAAATATACAATAAAAAGATAATTAATTTCCAATATCACCAGCTTCTTGTGGTAGTAATTGGATTTCAGAAGAATGACTATGTCACCCACTCTCTTCTAAAAAGGATGAGAACATAGGAATATATGCATACATTATTTTAAATACATACAGATACAATCTTACAGATCTGAAAGCTTATTGCAAAGACAAAGCAAGCATGGAAATGGATTACAAACAAATAATTAATATATTGAGATTTTAATGTTATCTTCATAAAAATACAACTGTCTACAGAGAAAAAAGATGCATAGTTCCTAGAGAAGGTAAATCACAAATAAAATTCATACGCTTTAAACTAACAAACACAAAAATAATTATTGTTCTCTTTCTTTACATTTGCTCTTTTAAATTTAAATTTTTGATCACCATAGGAGTGTTTAAAAACCCTTCGGTAAGGTGAAGAAATTGCTCTTTTAAAAGAAATACTAAATCTTGTACAAAAAATTACAGAATCTGACAAAATATGTGAAAGAATATGCACAAAATTTTCATCTAATGTTTACCTTATATTTGACCATTATTATTCAGAATATTGCAAATTGGAATATGTTATAAAACTCTTAGTTTAATGACTTCTTCCCCTATTACAACATATAGTACACAATATTCTCAGCACAAGTCCAGTATCTCTCCACAACATCAGTGGTTTAGCAGGGTTTGTCATATCCTGTGTCATATCCTGTGTCAAATATTTAGATTGCATTACTCTCTTTCACCATGAGAAATGATGTGGCAGTCTTGAAGAATGTAACCTCTGCACTAGGATGTAAAAAAACACACATTACTGTCTATTATATTTTAATTTTCAATCGTATAGACCTGTCTGTGTACTAGTTCACATTCAAAAAGGAAATATAAAATTCTTCTGTGGATGAAGAATTATGAATGTACTTGACTGCAATTCATCCACAAATAATTATTGTGAATGATCTGGTAAAGGTCAGTAAAACTTAACTGTCCCCAAATTGTTTTTTCAAATGTTCATGAAGTTATAAGAAATATTGTGCACAATAATCGTGACTGCAAGAGTCATTGAAAAGAATGCACAGAACAGGAAAATAGCCAAATATATCAAATTTGTAAAACTGTACTATCGTAAACTCTAAAGTCTGACAAACACCACTTAACCAATAAGGGGTTAAATAAATTAACAAAATGATCCCAATACTCATAGGATGATTTACATTTAGTTTATGATTATCTCCCAGACAATTAGTCACAATTAAATTATGAAAATTAAAACATGCAGGTACAAAAGCTACATGTCTTACTTGATTAAAAAAATATATATAATCTGAGATACTTAAAACAATACTTTTTAAATCTATGAACACACATTCAGGCATACAATGATGTACAGAGATTTAGGTAATACATTAAGAATGATAATATATTTGGTTTTCTTTCAAAGCTTATGACTACTGTTCTTAACTGCGACCAACAGTATTTTCATTACTCAACACATAGGTATGTATATCATTCAACAAAATTACAACATGTAACTTACTTTTCTTTACTACACAGGAAGGCTCCTTTTGTCCCATTTACTCAAACTTACTAATACATTACAAAATTTTAAAAGGTTATAAATTTCAGACAAATTCTATTTGATAGCAAATCTGAACATGATACTTCAGGCACATGCAACATTTATTGGCCAACAGAGTTCTAATTTCTGACCATTTTTTATTAAAATTTCAAATGAATTATTTTGAAAACATTAATTCAGTTTCAAGCGATCGAAAAATTACTTATTATCCATTGAAAAGACGACAGAATATTTTCATACAAATAACTTTAGTTTTATACAGTATCCATCAGAGATTATGGAACGTATTGGACTGACTGTCAGTATTACCAAAAAAAAAAAAAAAAAAAAAAAAAACAAATTTTCTCACAAATTGTGGGGATAAGATTTATATCGTCAGGAAAAACAAAACTTCTAGACTTCATTTTGTCAAATATTTATTTACGGGTCCATACCAAGCATTGGCTCAAAGGAAAGATAATGAAATATAAATTGACCCAAACACTTTCTTAGTCTTCTGGAATTCCTTGGAATTTCTGGACTTATTTCTCTGAAACCTCAGTAGCAACAAATTTCAAATAGCAGCACATTTGAAATAGATTTATTTTTAATTAACTATTATTGTTGATATCATAAATATCAACACATTTAATCTTCAATTGCAATTCAAAAGCACAACATTCTACTAGATATTATATTTTCTTTCTATAATTAGAGAGAGAGATTGTACTTGTAAAACTATTTCATAATCCAAATTAGGATAAATGGAATTTGGAATGAATGGCAAATAATACTGTCAAATTGCAAATATACTAAACATAATAGAAAAAACAGTTAATACATATCTTTTGCAATCTATGTAACTACCTACAAAATAGATGTCTAAGAATTATAAAGAAAAGTAAAAATATCTTGCAACAGAGAATGATGGAGCAATTCAATTTATATTTTATGAATATGTTTTAGAACTAAGAATGAAAACAAGAACATTTCTCAAAAACAATCAAAGAGCACTCTTTTGGCTTACTACTTACAAATGATTAACATTGACACAACTAAACAAGAAATTCAAGAAGTTTGAATTGTTCATTACTTTGATTAGAACGGTAACAAACAAATGTTTACAACATTTGGGTGCACATGCTCTCCTTTTTTTTAAAAATATATATCAAAGTGATGGAATAGGACTTGCTTGTGTATTGTAAGATGTTAGAAGACAGGTAACAGAGTAATGGTAAAGATAATAATTCCAAAATATATACCGATGACATTTTTATAATCTACATACATTATCACTACATTTACATTCATTCACTGTGACATGCAAATTTTTTTAAAAATTTCATGTGAAACAAAGATTTCACATTTTATATACATTACATATTTATTGGATTTCATTTTACTTTTTTAAACAAATAATTAAAAGTTTAATATTTATACCTACTTGGCTTCTTGTAGTTGCTTAACTAGAAGGCTTATTCTCATATTTTTAACAAAATTAAATTTTAATAAAAGATAAGGAAATGTAATTGAAACTGAAAAATAACATTAATTTTTTAACTACTATTTTTAACAATTTTTGAAATTTGGTGCTTTTAAATATATTTGATTTGTTTTTTTTATCAACATTAAAATTACTTAACTTTTTCAGCACTTTCTGCTTAATACACTTAACTAACATAAAAATTATATAAGATATTGGAAACACATTTCTTGCACTGATATACTTTAGAAACTTCTAGTAAGAAAATATACACCACCCAAGATTAAGAAAACAATATTATGAACCATTTTTAAATGATTCAAAAACTTTAGAAAGTTGTGACACTTTCAAAAAGAGATTTTAAAAAGGAAAGAGAACCTCTTATATACAATATAAACAATGTCATATTAGATTGAAATGGAATAATTGATGACAACTGAAATAATATTTGAACCATTTTCAACATATTTCAAAATTAACTTCCATTCCATACTTGAATGAGCCATATAAATGAGTAATAATAATTCTGAGTTATTGTCAACTATCACAACAAATTCACAAATCTCTTCAATTAAAAATATAAAAATTGTTCTAGGTTTTGGTTTGATATAATTACTAAGGAAGTCCACAAAATTCTAATATTCATATTTCTCTCTTTCTCTCAGATAATTCAGGTAATTTTCTTTGTAAAGAATTTCATGTGCAGAGGTTCACTAGATAATTTTTCCAGCAAATTTCTCAAAAAATTTCAATTTGTTCTGAATCAGCATTTCAGTATAATGAAAGTACTGTAATTGAATGTTCACTGTGTTTTAATTCCATGTTTAACTTTCTAACAACTTTAATTCACAGTTTATTTTTAATTTTGGCAAATATTTTTGTTACATTTTAAGTGTAATATTTAGAAATTCTTTTTTATTGCATATAAATATTAAATGTAATATTATGTACATAGAGGAATGAACAGAAAATAAGTAAAAACACAGTATTCCCCAATGAGTAATGATAAAAGAGAACAATGAAAGGGTAAGAGAAGGAGATAAGTCCATTTCCAGAAGAAAGTATAAGATTTTATGCTTTATGAAACATCAAAACTGAAGCTTAGCAATGTACTTATCATATTGCACAATGCCAGTCTATATGAAAATTAAAGAAAAGAAAAGATTAAAGAAAGAAAAAAAGAGAACCATAAGTGGAATGAAGATGATCATTCCAACTTCAAGACACTCTATTGAAATATTATAGAAGTGGACCTAACCCTTGTACTTTTCCTATCCTTTAATTGATAATGAAAATTTAATTAATATGGGGAATGACAGTCAGCATCAAGCATACACTTACATACTCCCATAAGCAAACAGTAGAGAAATCTACAGCATTATGTTCAAGTGAACCACCAAAACTACTTGGAAATGGAAAATCACTGAAGCTGAACAGTTAACATGGAGAGGAAAGATGGGAGAAACCACTTACCATAACACATGGAAGAATGCACAGCAGGAAGAGAAACACACACAACACTGAATATTTTTGAAAATATAAATTTAGCCAATTGTGAAAGTTTTTGAAAGCAAGCAAAAGAAGTTTGTCTATTACAGATACATCAAAAGTTGGCACAATGAAACAATATTTCTTTCAAGCAAAACATATAGTATGTGCTCAAAGAAAACGGTGACAGTTTATTTGAAGAAAAAAAATTCCTATCAACTGCAAAATATGTCCACAAAAAATTTAATTGAACCACATTCATCTATAGCATTGAAAGATACACTGTTATGTGTAAAGTACTGGGAATAGAACAGGTTCAGAGTCAAACCAATTAAGGAAGGAAAAGTATTCTGAAAGACAACAATATTTGAATTACGCTATTTGCATCTCCTCAATTATGATTTTTGTAAGTTTATATTTTTTTTTCCAAAAATAGATTACGAGCATTTACCTTTCAACACATTGAAGAGTTGTTAGTATTAGTTGTTGTAACATAGAGAATATATGGACGATTTTTGTTTCAATTCACTATGCAAATTTAATCATTATTTGCCACTAAATTTTTAGTATAAAATAAGTATTTTTGACTTTTGATCAAACACAATATAATATATAATAAATGGTAATCAAGTATTTCAGTAGTTTGCAAACTATCATTGTCACTACCCATGTCTAGGAAAATTTTGATGAAATGTCTCTTGAAGAACAACTTATCATAGGATCATGATAAAGAAACAAACTTGACCGTAGCATTCTATAATTTTCAGTTTCCAGAGAAATGTGTAATTAATGAGCTGAATAACAATCAATAGTATAAGTTATTTTATTCCATATAAAAATTATTTTTTTTATTATTAAGAAGTAAAAGGATCATATTTAATCCCCAAAGCAAGACTGTCATATTTCAATACAAGATTAACAAAGCAAAAGAAAAGGAAAACATGTTCACAGGATCAAATATTTTTAAATAACCATTTGTTCACAAAAATATCCACACTATAACAACACAATTTTAAATCATGATTATTACTCTATTCACTTTCAGAATAAAATAATGAAACAACAAACGTTAAAGTAAATGTGATTAATTCAAAATGCAAGCACTCACCAACTTCTATGTATTCCTGTTCCGTCTTACCAGCTGAGAGAGCACGAGATCTTGCCTCTTCCAAAGACAACAACTTTGTGGGAGTGGAGATGGCTAAAGACTTAGGTCGGCTACGCTTAGGTGTAACTGTAACAGAATGATGTAAAACTAATTCTTTTTAAAATCCGCTTATACTATTTTTACAGTGATTAGTAATAGATAAGTCTAATATTGTAGAAGTGGAGGAACAGAAAACAAATTATGCTAATAAATTTGAATAGTTTTTCTTACACTACCTTGGAATAGGTCAACTCACCTTCGGTCAGAGGCAGAGTAATTGGTGGGAGGCCATCGCTGAATATAAGGTCGGTGTAGCACACCAGAAACTCTGTGACAACTGCTTGCACACCCACTCCTTGGAGAGCTGCTACACCACCAACTTCAAGTTCTTTGCAACGCAAAAGGTTGGGAGCCCATACAATTGCCACATTACGTGGAGTCATGCCTGTTGTATGACCATGTTCAGCAACCCTAGCTAGATGGCGCATCAGGTACTCCAGTGTTCTGAAGAGCAAAATAAAAGTAAACAAAAGAAAACAGTAAACAGAAAATTAAAATAGATAAAACTGTGAGTTATGGTGTTTTTTCCCTTTTTAAATATGGCCTATTGAAACAATACAATTCATACTGGAAAGTATCCTGCTCTTTTACCAAATAAGAATTGGCAATATGAAAACACAGATATTCATCCATGATGTACAATCACTAAATATCAAAGAATAAAATATGACAGAAATCTGTTATAAGCTCCAAACTAAAAAATGAATCCAGGAGTTCAGAAAATAGAATAATTTCACTTTATTACAAAAAAAAATGTTAAACCATAATTCTCTTCTCAAACAAAAATCCTTATGGAAGTACATAAGCATATAAACAGAGACATGTGTAACAGAGGTATCATCTCATGATACCTGTTAAAGATTAACAATGTTTGTGATATATTACTTCTTGCTTCTTAAGACCAACCCTAGGATGAGAATAGTCTTGAAGAAGTGAAGCCAATGATGAAACGTTTTCAATAATTTTATATGAAGAGAGAGTAGTGATTGTACCTGTAATGAGGAGGAGGGAGTTTTTGGACAGCATCTCGCATTCGCAGCAATCTGTAGCCTTCCTCTTGAGAAGATTGCACAGCATTAACAAAAGTATGATACAATTGATAGGTGCACAGAGGATTAGGCAGCTCTCGGAAGTACATCTTCAGTAGAGATGCCACAGAATGAATATCCTGCAGAATGGCTTCATCTTCATAGAGAGCAGGAACACGATCTTCATCAAATGCATTCCTGTAAGAGAACAGCCTTCAGTTAATTCAAATATATTGTCTTTGAAAGAGCAGTCATCAAGCACAGACATTGCATCAAATTTAAAACTTGCCGTAGTTTTTGAATATTAGAGTTTACTCCAGACAGACGATATATTCCATCAACAATGCCATTTGTTTCAATAAACTCCGCACAGCACTTGAGCACCATGGGTACTGCAATAAAAATAAAAAGGTGACTGAGTTTAATGGCATCAACAAATAGATAATAGGTTGTGAAATGAAGACCATTTCTAAATTTATGGAAATGGCTAAGTGTAAAATTGTTATCTTCAACAAGCCAAGTACCCAAATCAGAAACAATTGGTAAAAACTTACTTTCGTGGCCTGAATTAAGAAGGTGCTCTCCAAGATCACACCCAAAAACACGTTCTTTAAGGATACCAGACTGCTTCAGCCTGCGGCGAGAAGGTCGAGACAAAATGAAAGAGCGGAAGAAGGCAATGAGTTTGCCATGCTTGCGTAAAACTGGCTTGCTAGGTTGATCTTCTGGAGGAGGAGTGGGTAACTGTAGATTGCGTGGCACCTTGTCGCCAATGACTGCCACACACTCACATGGAAAGAAGCCCACTTGAAAGCCCCTCTTCCCACGCCACCAAACTGATTCCTCAGGAGGTGGCATGTCAATAACTGATATCATCTCACCCACCTGAAAGCATAGCAGAATATTGTAAACGTCTCTCTACAACACAACAAGAAAGTAAAAACAGGTTTTGGATACATGAATTTATTTGATAATCAATTAAAGACAATATTTTTATAAGAACAAGCTCAAACTTGAATTGAATCTTATTAATAATAATAGAAACAATAATTCATCGATAGTGCTTTGATTGTGTGTCCTATGTCATGCATATGTTTAATAGGGATATATTCAGTATATTCCATCATACAACAAATATGGATAACTGTTAACAGTGTAACGATAAATTATTGTTTTATTCATTTCTAATATTTTCTTGCAATTAACATTTACATATTTGAGATTCACTGGGAAAACCTGCAGTGTATTATTTTATAGTTCTTACACAAAGAGTTTTTTTATCATATGTTATAAGTTCTAATTAGAACTGAGAGCCCTGTAATCATTTTAAAGCATACGGTAGTTGAGTTAATATGTTTACCCCAGAATGATATGACTATCTATTGCTTTTTTCAATTTGTTCTTATTATGTTCATTTGGTTGATTATAAATATTGTAAGTATGCATGTGTTGGTTATGAATTGTATTTCTCATTATAGTATATGAATAATATTGAATTGCATTCATACAATCCATTGACTGTTAAACAATTTTAATTTTGAAACAGTTTTGTAGTTATTTATCCTTTTCATTTTGTATATAGCTCTTAGGTTGTTTTCTTTTTTGGGGAACTTTATACCTTTTACATAAATTTTACATTTTATGAAAATTGCAACTTATGCTGTTTTTGCATTACTTAAAAGCAATAAAGAAGACAGATGCAAAAATGACATAAGCAGTTATTATTAATTAATGAAATAAAATTAATAATTGTTAATTTACACCTGTTTAAAATAGATTAACATACCTCAAAGCTTATTTCATCTCCTGCTTGAGCAGTATACCTCTTCACTGCATATGCTGCAGCTACAGCAGGAGTGTTGATTGGACAGTTATCTCCATCAGGAACCAATAAACGTCTACCTCGATTGTCCAACTCAAGCCAGTTAAGAACAGGCCCACAATTAATGAGATTCCCCGCAATATGAGAGAAGCGAGTCAGGTAGTCAGTAAGCAATTTGCGAACACTCTCCTACGAAAAAACACATCATTTGCAATTTTCGGACAGTTGATAATAATATTTTAAAAATATTCAAATATGCATTAATTTTAAAGAACACCACGTCCAGCAGAACATCACACCTCATGATTGATGCCTTGTACATTTTCTTCAGGAGGTAGTTCAGGAAGACCAGAAAATTTTCGGTCATAAATGCACCGATGAAGCTGTGAATCCAGCATTCGGAAGTTGTCATAAGATCTTCTGAGCACCCAGGTCTTGCCCAAAGATGTCACTGATACATGAAAATACTTATTTTCTGTATCTTCACAAGCAAGTGGTTTCAACTCTTCCTCATACAGTGACACCTGAAGAAAAAACACAAGGGAAAGGTTTACAACAGAGTAAGCACCAATTTCAGAATGCCTAGTGAGAAAACTGAAAGAAGTTATGAGCATTCACCAAAACATAGCAAATTATCTGCTTTTGAAAAAGATTCCACCATGCAAGAAAACTGAGAATATTTAGGAAATTAATAATCATCTCAATCAGCCCTCAATAATTAAAATTAAAAAAGTTTGCTTGAACTGCATAAAAAATTATTACTAACAATTTTTTTTTAAAATTGCGATGATTCCTCAGAAACAAAGAAAGACAGTAACAAATTAGAGAAATGACTCAAAGCTACAAAATTGATGATATTGAATGATATGACTTGTTTCTATTATATGTACAATGTGATGTTATTTAGAAAACAAAAATACTTCGTATATCAGTGGTGGTTTGTGCGCTTTTCTTAACAGAGAAAAAACAAATCTATTACATACACTAGAATAAAGCATTTTAGGTTGCATACATTCTTTACAATGGAGAGAGAGGGAGAGAGGGAATGGAGAGAGAGAGAGATACAGGGAGATATTACAGTCGCCTGTAGGCAGGAGAGGAGGAATTCATCTCTTGAACTGTGTAGCTCCAATAATAAAAGCTTCCTCTCCTGACAGCAGGAAAGTTGTAAGATTTGGTTGATTAACCCAGAGAGGAGAAAAGGCTCTTTAGTTCCTCAGAGCGATTTCTCTTCATTTAAAAGCGTGGGTTATTTAAAACTCGATCAAAATGCATTTCCTTGCAGCTATTAGATAAACAAATGACATTTTCCCCTCAAACTTCAAAGCAAATGTATTATTTGGTAATTACATTCAGAAGAAGAAAATTTGTGAGAAAGACTGTCCTCCCATCCCTCCCCTGAGAACCAGCCACTGGGTGTATGTTCAGTTGCCAGAGATGTGTCTATAATTTCCTTTTAAAAAAATCCTCTAGTCATAAACTAAAATTCCTTCAGAAGCAAAACCTCAGTGAGACCAAGTGGTTGGTGGTTGTATGACGTATGTAGCCACATGACATTAACACAGATGCCAGAGCCTACAGCTAGTTGGCCCTGAGATGCTTTGATGTATGTTTCAGCACTTCCTTTCACACAAGCCTTAACTCCCCCAAAACTGAACAATTTCGTGAATGATAAAATATTGTAAGAATAATCCTCAGTAGTTCTGAGACAATCCAAAATCCAATCCCTTAACTTAATTAACAATAAATTTACATCAAGAGGTTTTTGAAAATAGCGTTTCTGTTAGATAAACACGGCAATGTGACCTTTAGTATTTTATGTACGTTTTCTTAACTTCGTATCTACGCTGCATATTTGTAAATTTATTACTTTACGAGCTTTGTACGAGGCTACTACATGTGTTGCCATAAATTCAGTACAAACATTTTTCGCTCTGTGGTAATAAGTTGACAGAATCAATTGACATTCAGAGCTAATTGTGCAGCCAACTATTCGTCAAGAAGATCAGTAAACAAACGCAGCCCGAATACTTGCAGGCCTGCCTCCCACCCACAAGCTTCCATCTTCTTTTTGCTTGCCAGCTTCCCACCCCGCTTTTTGCTGGCCGAGCACATATGTCTGCAACTTCTCAGCACATGCGGTACCCTGACAGCTCGCTTATATCTCGTCCATGCACTGCTTGTGGAGCACGATGCAGGATAAATATAGAAGAGACTATTCATGAATCAAAAGTTCGCAAATCTTTAAGTAATAAAATTTATGAAAAAGTGTCCACTTCTCTCTTGGGAATATCGCTACCACCATAATCGGCCTGGATTTTCAACCTTCGTCCGGGGTCTTACGTATATTTCCGTGCCCCCTCCCCCATAGCCTCATACGAGTTCTTAGTAGTATACACGGAAGGGCTCCTTCGTTCCTCACGCCCCAAACTGCTCTTGAATCGTTTTAAACAAGTTTTTTGTTAATGATACTCTCCGTTACTCGCCATCCCAATGAACACGCTGCAATGAGATGGTAGACGGTCGAGGCTTTATTAGCATTAATCACGAACAGACAAATGATGATGTCTTTGGCGATTGAGGCAGAGAAATGGTCATAAAGATGTGTCAAAACTCGATGTCAATTCTGAATCCAATTCAAAATGAACTCAACCTTGTGGCGTCTTATGCTTCAACTTAAAGTTCAAATATATAAATTAATTTCCTTCCTTTTGAAAAAAGAAAAGACGCTTCGACATCCGTCTATTCTCCGATTAAAATGCAATTAGAATTGATATAGATCAGCTGGGACGCGTTGATTCAATCCGAAGCTCCAATTTCTAAAATTAAGACGTAACGAAGCTTCCCATTGGATAACTGCGTCACAGCTGATCAGGCCTTGATTAAATCCACTTATATTTTAATCGTAGAATATAAGTACATAACGCATATTTACTGCAAATTGGCATTTGCTTCATTTTTCGTCAATCGGAAATTTCAAAAATCCAAAAGAGGGTGTTGGGCCTTTATTTTCTTGCACTTGAATAAAACAATGAGAGCATTAGAGAAACTCTGTAGATCAGGTATTTCAGATTTCGGACCTATTCTAATTGCTTCATTTTTCTTCAAGAATTTGCTATTTAAACATTTAACAATTCTCATGATGAATGATTCTGGATAAGTGGTAATTAGCATTCCAATTACCGTTTCCTTCTAGTCGTAAGCAGACTCGACTTTTCGCCTTCCTTTTATCTCTACGCTTGGCTCTACTAGTCCCATCTCGTCTTATCCCGTTTACTGAGCGGCTATTCATTTCCTGAACAAATGTCTCTACCTTTCCTAAGTTTTCTAAAATTTTTCACTGATTCTATTTGTTAAGTACAGAATACTTCTCAGTACTTAAAGAAAATAATAAAGCAAGTCTGAAACTAATTTGTCAGCCGATTTCGCCATGACAAAGTAGAAATTAAAACAAACTCAACAAACGGAAATCTAGCCAGAAGTAATTTTGTGCTATTTCTTAAGAATAATTTCTAGTTTTATAACCATGTGTTCCCTTAACTTTAACGATTCTTCCCAGAAAATTCCTGATTTTCATTGGCTTTTTCCAAGAGCCAATGAAATTCAAGCATTTCCCGTGTTAACCGATGTTTCCGGACCGCGCTTCTCTGAATTAGGAGTAGCCCTTTAGCTTCTTGCCGCAAGTGTTACTGGCCGAAGTCTGATCTTTCGTTTTTCTCCTGTCTGGGCGGGGAAGGCGGGTCGAGGCGCGGGCGGGCGGGGCGAGTGCGGGGCGAGGCGGGGCGAGGACGGGGCGAGGCGAGGCGGGGTGAGGCGGGGCGGGGCGAGCGGGGCGAGGCGTGTCGAGCGGGGCGAGGCGGGGGCGAGGCGGGCGAGGGCGGCGCGGGCGGGTCGAGGCGGGTCGAGGGCGGCGAGGCGGGGCGAGGCGGGCGAGGCGGGGCGAGCGGGGGCGAGGCTTGGGCGAGGCGGGGGCGAGGCGGGCGAGGCGGCGAGCGGGCGAGGCGGTGCGAGACGGCGGCGGGCGAGGCGAGGCGGAAGGTCGCGGGACCCTGGAGGGGAGGCGGGGCCGGGCGGGCCGGTTGAGCGGAGCGGGCAGGCGGCGCCAGGGGCGCGGGGGGGGGGTTTGGGGAGGGCGCCTGGTGACCGAGGCTGCCCGACTGTTTAGTCAGAGGCTGGTCTTGCAAAGTCAGGTAAGGCCTTACGCGGGGAGTGAGGTGGGTCCTCGATGCGGTAGGGCGGGGCGGCCCAGCAACTGGCACGGGGTCGCCTGAGCGGGGGAGGTGGTATTGCTTGCATGGGATGGTTGTAGGGTGGGAGGGGAAGCCGGGGAGGGGGGGGCGGATGAGGCGGACGGCCTGGCGGGAAGGGCCGGGGGCTAGGGCTCGGCGGGGTGGGGGGGCGAGGACGGGAGGGTTTCCGCTGTTCAGCGGGCCGACAGCGTGTCGCGGGGCGGCGGCGCGCGGTCCGATCGTCACGCAAGGCGCCCGAGGCGCCGGAAGGCTTGGGAGAAAAAGGGAGACCGGGCCTTCCGAAGGACCGCCAGTGTGGGAGCTGCCCTCGGGAATCGCAAATCCAGGAGGATGCCGTAGCAGCGCCGAAGATGAATTACTTTCTCGTAGTTCTTGTGTTTTCTCGAACAGACGAATTACGAGTAGCACCGCGAAATTGGACTGCGAATAATAGTACAAAAAGTATAAAGAAAACTATTGAAAAAGTCTGACCTGGCTTTCAATTCCTCAACAAATATTTAGTGTATTCCCCCCCAAAAAAGGTCACTAAAAATGGCTTATAGTGGAACATAACTTCCAATGTCCATGTCCTCACATCGCAAGTGCATTTGTAATTATGATACTAATGCACTAATAAACTTTTGTGTACAATAATTCTAAACTAGGCCTGCCAGACGTGACGCATTTGTCTCAAAGGCGTTCCCAGCCTTCCAGGCAAAGAATACGTCATGTGTATTGTTTTCGTCATTACTGGATAAGGCACACGATGGGATGAATGATTCTGATCAACAAAGCCGATCCATTTTTCTGGTTTCTTATGCAAGATTTTCCGTATACGTACTCTTTCAGCTTGACCCCGGGGTCACAGAGGACCTTTCTCCATTGAGGAGTTGAAAGGAAGGAATTTACTCATTCAAAGGAAAGTGTTGAGGGGTGGGGGATGTAATGGCCATATCGATGCCTAGGGCATTTCCGGGCTAAGAAGTCTTGAATCAAGCCCGTGGGGTAAGCACGTTACAAAATAATGAATTTGCCTGTTACAACTATAGTAATCAGTTTCGTATCCAATAGCCTCAATTTCGGTGGATTGTTTGTTTTATAGTTTTCCTTGATCCATTAAGCAATGAAATGAGATGGCCCTATATCTTGCCATTCAGACATCATTGCTTTGCACGTTCAATAAAAAAGTCGGATCGGCAATGTGAGTGGGCAAACATTCTAATATTGCCAAACATTTATTAACAAATAGAAAGTCATATCGGAAATGGTCAGTTTAGTACTGCATAGATTTCGAGATTCTGCACTTTTCTGACCATCCTTATAAACAATGAGTGGGTGTACCTAGATGTACTAAACCTCCAAAAAATGTAGCAGAGAGTCCAATTTTAAAATTACTTTCTAAGAAACCTAACATGAGTCTTCGTATCTAAAAACCTAGACTTCAAGAGCTTCGAACGCATCGTTTTCAAGTTACTCGTACAGTAACGACTAACGAGTGTTGCAGTATAGCGCGTGTTGCTGGCCGATTGTGAGCCTGATGATTGCTTCAAAACATGATCTACGTTCTCCTTTTTCAATGTGCTTGATGCACAGTTGGGGGACGGGGTTCCTATCCAGCAGCAGTACATTTACGGAACTTATTTTAGATGGTGTCTAGTACATCGTACACGACAGTCAACTTTCATTTGATGTCAAAATATATAAAGGAAATTAAATAGTATTAAAAACGCCATTTCAGTGCACAATTTCGCGAATGAGTTACGTCAAATTCACATTCTTTAAATTTACAACCGTATCCGATAAATTTAACATTTAAATATTCCGAAATAATCTGCATTATTGTTTGAGGCTTTTTACAGGCCATCAATAAAAATGGCTGGAATGTGCTACTGCTAAATAAGGAGTTACCGCCCTGGTCTGCATTACAATTAAGTCAACAAAACAGAAGTTCGCAGATTGTGACTAAGAAGAACCGCATCAGAAACCCGCAAAACATTTTACAATGCAACACACGTTACCATCGTTCTTGCCTCCGATACGAAGCGTCCTAGGGCCTTAAAACCAAGGTATCGTGTCCCATGCGAATTGAATGGATTTATATTTATAGATTTATATTTGTTGTGTCGTAACCAACACAATTAAATATTTTTGAGCGTTGTATTAAAATTTTGGAGGATCACCTGACTCCGTAGTACGGGTTGTCAAAACTTTCCAGGTTTGTGGGTCCAGTTTTAAGCTGTTTTTCACTTTTAAAACAATGACTTAAAGCGTGCGGAATATTCGCATGGATTCAGCTGGTTTTGATCATATTTTAAAATTAGATGAGAAGTGAAAATTAACATGTCAAAATGAATGGCATTATAAGATTTTACGTAGGTATGGGAATAATGCTACATTTAATAAAAGTATACTCAAAAGAGGTGCATTTGCTGCATGTGTTGTATGTTGGATCAATTAACGAAATGAAGAGCTGTGAATAATTCAACAGATTTTTCTGTTGCATCTCTCTATCCGATTAAAACATATTCGAACAATATAAGTAATTAGTAATTTCTTGCACTATGAGCTATTTAATAGCCAGAATTATGCTGAAGAGCCAAAAAAATTGGCACAACTGCCTAATATTGTGTAGGGACCCCACATGCATGCGGAAGTGCCGCAACACGACGTGACATGAACTCGACTAATGTCTGAAGTAGTGCTGGAGGTAACTGACTCCATGAATCCTGCAGGACTGTCCATAAACTCGTAGGAGTACGAGGGGGTGGACATCTCTTCTGATCAGCGCGTTGCAAGGCATCCCAGATATTCTCAATAATGTACATGTCTGGAAAATTTCATTTGTGTGGGTAGCCAGTGGAAGTGTTTAAACTCAGAGTGTTCTTGGAGCCACACGGACGTGTGGGTTGTCGCATTGTCCTGCTCAAATTGCCCAAGTCCGTCGGGATGCACAATGGACATAAAAGGGGGCAGGAGATCAGCCTGGATGCTTACGAACGTGTCACTAGTCATGACTCGTTTCTAGACGTATCAGGGGTTCCATATCATTCCAACTAAGTGGCATAACGTTCGGTCTGTAATGCGGGCGGGCCCTGGTAAAAGGGAGCCTATTTTTAGGGTGTACTTTTATTATTTAAAGTACCAACACTGCTTGTGTTTGATATACACTCTTATAAATGGGGAGGGGGCGTATAAACTCTTTGCGGGTGGGCGGGCACTCATCTCGTTACGCTACTGCACCAACTGCAGCACGCCCATTCCATCACAGAGCCTCCTCCAGCTTGAGCAGTCCCCTGTTGACATGAGGGTCCATGAATTCCTGAGGTTGTCGCCATACTGGTACACGTCCATCCGCTCGAAACAATTTGAAACGAGACTCGTCAGACCAGACAACGTGTTTCTAGTCATCAACAGTTCATTGTCGGTGTTGACAGACCCAGGCGACGCGTAAAGCTTTGTGTCGATCAGTCATCAAGGGGACGCGAGTGGGCCTTCGGTTTCGAAACTCCATATCGATAATGTCTCGTTGAATGGTTCGCACGCTGACACTTGTTGATGGCCCAGCATTGCAATTTGCGGTTGCACTTCTGTCACGTGTAAAGATTCTCCGCAGTCGTTGTCGGTCCCGATCTTGCACAATATTTTTGCGGCCGCAGCGATGCCGGAGGTTTGATTACCGGATTCCCAATATTCACGGTACACTCCTGAAATAATCGTATGGGAAAATCCAAATTTCATCGCGACTTCGGAGATGCTATGCACCATCTCTCTTGCGTCGATTTCAACATGACGTTCAAACGCACTTAAAGCTTGATAACCTTCCATTGTAGCAGCAGTTATCAATCTAACTACTGTGCCAGACTCTGGTTGTCTTATATAGTTGTTGCCGCCGGAGCGCCATATTCTGATTGGTTCCAGATCCGTTTATTTCAATGCGCTTGGCTATACCACTTTTTGCCTCTTCAGTGTAAATTACCACCAAATTAATTATTCAAAGAGTAAATTAATAGTAACAAAAATCATACGATTTGGGCTTTTTAGAGGAAGATAAAATTTGTTTATTTCCGCAATCGATGTCTTATGTAATCCCTTGAGTTGTTTATTTTTCAATGTACATTTTATTCAAATATAGTGCACTGAACTCCAGCAGGTACGCGGCCTCCACTATTGTGGCTTTTGGCCCCCAAAACATATATACTGACTCGTAAAGTTAGTCGTCAACGAACAAAGTTTAAACTCTGACTTTATATAACCAACCTTTGCTAGTTAGTACGCCCCACCTTTTAGCCTGCGTCAGTCTGGTAGCATATTTGTCTTTTTGATGCGAAGCATTTGCGTAAAATAAACATCACCGGGCACATACGACCCAAGTTTCATTCTAGGTTTACGAGCTCACTCAGCGACACAGCACAACCCTACGTTCGAAGTGCACTAGAGAAGAGCAAAAGAGAACCTGAATAAGGCACAGACATGCATCGAACTGCAGCTCGTTGCAGGAAACTCGGAAGAGCAAAAAGGACAAGAAGAGCGCGTATATATTTTGGAAGAAAAATTACACGTGTTTGGAACCAACTATGACCAATAATTAAAACAGGGCCGGATTACTTCCGCACGGGACCATAAGCATGACGATACAATGCCCCCTCATACTATAAAATCACGGAACATAAACTATTAAAATTAATACGAAAATAAAAATATTACCTTCCGAATTTAAGAATTTAATATTTTACAATATAAAAATAATTTTAAATAATGTTCGTCTCCTTTTATGAGCGATATTTTTTATAAAAATTAATTGTCTATGTTTTAAAACCTGAATTATTTTTTTTTGAATACTCGTAGATAATCATATAATTAAACTTTATTTTAATACATTTATGTCAAATGTAACACTCAATGTTGTTTAAAAAAAACAACATTGAGGGTTCCTATCCAGGAGGATCATCCTTAGCACATGGTTAGTTTGGTTATGTATTAATTTGCCCCTTGCTAGTATAGTATAGTACAGGGATGTCCAACTTGCAAGCCCTTAAGGACCACAACTAAAACCTTTAACATGGCTGTGGGCCATATTTTCATTACTCGGCCGATCCCCGCCTGACTCTCCAGTATTGTTGATCTCCGCCCTTTCCCGACTGCTCGGAAATAGGGGGAGGGGGAATGGAACCATGCATGACATCAGGCCGTACCACGCATAACGCAGTGAAACACATTGGGATAACTCTGAATTTTTGAATGTACACGAAATTTACACAAAAAAATCCCATCAAATCTTAACCTATTTTTACATTAAAGGGGGCGGTGAACCCCGGTAGGAGCCGTGCGCTAGGCACTCTCAAAGATGAAAGGGTCTTTCATTTTTGACTAAAAACCATTTGCGGGCCACAATAAATGGCATCGCGGGCCGCCAGATGGACAACCCTGGTATATAGTATAGTATAGTATAGTATTTTATAGTATAGGATAGTATAGTATAGAGTATAGAATATAGTATAGAATATAGTATAGAATATAGTATAGAATATAGTATAGAATATAGTATAGTATATAGTATAGTATATAGTATAGCATATAGTATAGTATATAGTATAGTATAGTATAGTTCGTAAGAGTGGATCCCATTTAGAAGAATGCCTGAGATAACTTTTTGTACTTGAGTACGTCTCCCCTTTTTACACACATACGAGTATTCGCATTTAGTTTCGCGCGCCCCGTTTACCGCCTCACCTGCAGCGGGCCGAGCTCCACGAGGTCGTAGTGGAAGTGCGCGCACTCGTCCAGCTTCGGGAAGCGCGAGCGGCCGTCGGGCGGCTGCGCGGAGGCGGCGGAGGCGGCGGCGGCGGCGGCGGCGGCCGTCAGGTGCTGGATGCGGATGCTGGTGCCGCGCGGGGACTCCATGTCGCTCGCCTCGCACAGCCCGCTCTGCAACACACACACACACACGCGCCCCGTCACTCCACTGCCCGCTACGCGTCGCTTTGCACACGGTTGCGGCTGCGGCTGCTGCTGCTATTGGGATAAGAGGAAACGGAACAGGGGAGGCGTGTGCTGAAGTAGGAGGATGGTTTAGAAGACGATTATCGGAAGAGGGTGTTGAATGGATACTGGAAAGTGTTGATATAATTAGAAACCAGCAAAGAGAACATAGAGAGCATAATTTAAGCATCGATATAGTGCAGAAATCAAAATCAAAATTATAATCCATAATAAGGAATCGAGCTCCGTTGGATAATGTATAGCTGGCCAGTGAAAAACTGTAAAAAAAAGAATAAGAAGTCGTCAGATATTATCTACACAATATATTTTTTATGAAAATATTCAAGATCAAATCGAAATTATGAGCAGATCCAAAAATAAAGATTATTGCACATAATTTGCACGATTGAAAAATATATCTAAATGGAAGATTTTCGAGTCGTAATTTTAAATAATCGCCCACTTGTTTCCCTTATCCGTTTTCCTACGCCTAATTGGTGTGATGAAGCCAAACTGTAAAGATTGAGGAGTGCTTTGATCGCTGATGAGAGCAATAACGCCCGTATTAAACGTTTCAGCGATCAAAGCTGGATGCCTACATGCGATTGCGTTCAGGCGATGCAATTTCGATGAGTTCGCGCTATCAAGGAAAGAACAAAGTGCCGTAATTAAACGTTCGCAATTATCTTTTACCATTCTATATTTGCACACAAAGCACCATCATCATCACCAGAAAAATTAACTAATAGATTAAAGAAAGTGTCCAATTTTAATTGGCGAAATGATTTCTATTTGACAGCGACTTTGAAAGCTTATCTCCAATACTATAATAACGTTCTTCACCTTTACCTGATTGCACCTTAAATATGAGCTGTTATATGTAAAAACATTCAAACAATATTAATTATGGTTATTATAAACATGGAATTAAAACCATCACGAGAACTGGGAACGGTGTTGGGAATATTTGGTTCTCGTGGTAGGTCCTCATGAGAGGCGCAACCAAGGAAAAAGAAACATAGATACTGTATTTGTTGGAACTATATAGTTGACGATAAGACATTCGTAAAAAGGAAATTTTAATATTGTAGCTTACAACTAGTCTCTGTTGTAAAAAAATACACTTTAATTTCCTCGCCATCAGTCAAGATGGCGTGTAGTTAAACACTGCGCTGCTGAATATCTTATATAAAATCAATTGTAACTTTAAATCCTACCACTCTGACCCACCTGTAAAATTCGCCAGGGTCTGTGCCTGTACGGACAAAAACACGGAAATTCATTGTACATCATTTAGTACTGTACTTGTGAAGAATGACACATGCAACAAATTTGAGGGTAACTACCATCAAGATCATAGTAACGTGACTGTTAGCTCTACGAGGTCAGCACATGCAAGTGCGTCAGCATGTATTCATTTTATTATGATAATAGCAAAATGCCCACAGACAAAAGTTATGAATATCAATAGGTGTTAAAATGTAATTTCCATGGTGTTTTCTGAAGTTACGCCAATATCAAAGTATTTTCAACAGCACCTGTGGATACTACAAAAGTATTATTGGTTATTAATATTTATATAACTGCATGTAATACAGTAAAGAAGCAGCATGCATTGGACCGTTTGAAACGGCAACCGTCTTCTCGAAGATGACTAAGATCGAAGAGTCGGTACCTATCACTACAAGCGACGGAAAGAGCAGGCGCAAGCAAACACTGAACATGTCAAATATTGTTGAATCGCCTGTGAGCTGTGACTCATCTGTCGTAACTGATCACGTATCCGCTAAAATCATACCAGAGATGACTTCTATTTGGAAATTTACAAAGGCGATTACATATTTAGTCAAGCGCTAACTGAGATAATGGAAGCTTGTAAATACCCATAAAAATAAAAAGATGTTCAATTACGATTTTTTTTAATATATGAAAAAAATTAACTAATTTAATTTAATTTGTATATTATTGTTCGATCTTCCTTTTTTAAATCATAGACAATCACATTCAAAACATATTTATTTTACGTAGTTACATATCACACATGTACGACGTTTCAGAAAGCATTCCGTTTCCATCTGAAAACTAATGTCTTCCGAAACCTCGTACTCGTAAAAGATGTGCAACTACGTGAAATAAATGTTTTTAACGTGATTGTCTATAATTTAAAAAACGAAGATAGAACAATAATATAACAATTAGTAATAAAACAATTATATTTAATGCAAGTTCATTTTACTAATTTACAACCAACGATCACACATTCAACAAGTGTGTCTTCTGACGTGTTTCATTTTAGCTACAACGAACTCAGCCAACCAAAGGACCTACGCCAGGTTTTTTAAGTCGCGTGACCTGTGTATCATCTCCCATGAATGCAGCCACTGTAGCAAGAGGAAAACGTCGCCTTATCTGAAATTAATATGTACTCCACGAAATAACTTTTTTGTGACCTCCTTCGACGAAATCTCATGAATACGATATTACAAAAGTGCCACATTGATCGTCTTTTCAAAGAAAAATGAGACTTAATTTGCGGTCGACTGAGTCATTTGCAGAAGACCAGTGTGAGACCGCAAGACTACTCGTTTCCTGCTTTTCTTAATTCACTGATGATTTCTTAATCTGGCCGTTTAAGTTTAAGAAACAACAAAATATCAAAATTACCGATTCAGGGCATTTAGAAACAAGAAGCAGGAGTTAACTGATATATTATTTTAATTGAACACATATGCCAAAATGAAATGAGCAGCATTAGTGTTTATACACTGAGAAAAATATTTCTTCACATCGACAGACTCATGTATGCGGCATGCACGAAGTTGCCCTAAAGGTATTTAGTGGGGTATCACCTTTATTACGTAACTGCACACACAATAAATAACGCATCAGACCAATCTATTGTTTCCTTCACATTTGTACATTCCATCTATGCTTAAGTTGTTGTGAGTTAAAGATACTTTTTTCTCAGTGTAACTTGGAAAGAAATTTTAAAAAAAGCACATCAATAGCGCAACGCATGCAATATGCGATCCGTCGTGGAAATGTCTATCTGAAAGGAAACAACATTCAGAAAGATATCTTCGCGAGAAGATGCGGTGTTATTCGACGGGTTCCGATGGAAGGTCAGCATGGAAGAGAGAGGAAGTAACGACAAGTTGGAAACTGTCAGGAATGAACAAATTTGGATTTGGATATTCGGCCGCCCCCGATATTCTCCACGCCAGGTCCGATTTGCAGAAAGTACTATATAATCTTTATAGAAAAGAGCTTAAGTACTCAAAAATCCTCCGAGTATCAATCCAAATTACTAGCATTCTTCCTAACTTCATTCTTCCGAGGATTTGCATGGTTTTAGTGGTAGACACGGTCATCATCAGCATTCCTTCCAATGAAGATAAACCAAAGGAAATCTCAGTACACTTTTCTAAAGTGAATAAACACAACAAATGGAAATTAGTCATTTTATAACCCCGAAATATAAGTTATTTTGTATGACTAAGAAAAGAAAAGAATATATGCCTCATCATAATGCGACGATTTAGCATAATCCACTCGGCGAAATCCCATCACTTGTTCTCAGTTTTAGTTTCATCTCAACCTTCTCAAATAAGCATTCAACAATCGTGAATAAAAAAAGAGGTCAAAGTTTCCGAAATCACGAATATTTACGCCAGCGTTAACCTCGTGCTGCTCACGTTAACCAAACTTTCAACCGAAGACGAAAAGGAGTACCTCACTTGAGTCCTCCTAGAAATGACCCAATCACGTTCGTACGTACTATTCAGATCCAGTCGTTTCATTCCCTTATCGTAACTTCCCTGTTTTCTCGTAAGCAGTCATGTCTGACCAAAAGAAAAGCAACCATAGAGTATCACAATTGCAAAACCTCCCACGAATTGTTTGATAGTGGTAACCTACTCTGCATTTGTAGCAAAAATTACTTTACTTCGCTTGCTTGAAAAAGTATTTTTATAGATTTGATTTTAAATACATAGAAAGTTAAAATAAAACTATTACGACTATGTTGAACACAGTTTTATGTAATATTATTACTTGGAACTCAGACACCCCCAATGTCCCACAATGACAAATTATTTAGTGCAAAATTGCGTCATAATGTAAAGCAAAACATGCAGAGCATTAATCATGCTTCTATTCTACAAACATAAAATTTTCATTCTCTTCGTTATTTCACTCCCCCCCCCCTATTGTTTTACTGATACAATCGCATCACACTCAGTTCTATGTGAATGAATCTTGGGAATGCCAGTCGATATGGCAACAAAAGTTGTAGTTCACCGCAACGGTCGCTGATACAACGTTCAAGTCACTAACGAGCCCTGCAAGCAAACGCGCTTAGGCGAATAAATAATGCATTTGATAAGAATCCATTAACGGCTCGCTTACATTACAGCCACAGCCCTTTGAAGGATGGCTGGGTCATGAAGTCCCTGCCAACTGGTTTATATCAGAGCACGCAAAAACAATGTACATCTTACACATATTTATCCGCACACGTTCTCTCTTTCATAAAGACTTTCTCTCTCCGCCTCTCTCTCTCTCTCTCTCTCTCTCTCTCTCTCTCTCTCTCT